ACTTTTATCACTTTGCAGAAATTGTTTGCGCTTAATATTATATTTCCCTTGCTCAATTTCATCTCTAACGGACCAATGCTTGCGTACATAATGTTCAGTTGTTGCTCTGGAGTCCCATAAGCATAGGAAACAGCAAAATTAAGTATAGCCAGGCTGAAGGCCTGTAAGCATGGCTACAATCCTCAAATCTGCACAAATATGCCATTTATGGTTATAATATTGTACGCTCGTTAGAATTGTTTTTAAATTTTCATATGATTCTTTTATGGTTGCGCTGTAAGCTATGGGAACAGATGGCAGAGTGTTGCCGTTGTGTAGAAAAACAGATTTGATGCTTTCTTTGGATGCATCTAAGAAAAGTCACCAGTTGCTGTTATCATATGGTATTTCTAGTTGTTCAAAAAGTTTAGCGACGTCATTACAGAAGCATAAATCATCTTTCATGGTAAACAATACATGCAGTTTTTGTGAACGTTTTCTGTACAATGTTATCTTCACTCTTTTTCTAGGAAGATTACGTTCTTTAAGCCTTGATACTAGAAGCTCACTTTTGTCTTCGATTAAATAGAGATCTCTACATAAGTCATTTAGAGTCTCTTGAGAAAATAGTATTGGTTTATTCATGCTTTCTAGATCATTAAATTCTACTGTTTCATCACTGGAATGTTCATCTCCACTGCTTGAACTCCACATTTCTTGATCTGGGGGTTTTGGGCACAGGTAAATCTTTTGAGTGCTCAACTGGGCGCATTGCTGATTGCAAATTTGGGTAAACAATGAGTTTCTTTTTCTTTGCCGTAGTACAGCCCGTATAGTCTTGCTGACAGAAATAGCAATCATTAGAATGACCTCTCTGCTCACGCCAAATCATTGGCACACCAAACTTCATGTGAACATTTTTTCTTGCAAACCATGTACTCAGTGTCTTCACACATGTAAGGCAACAGACATGAGGAGCCCATGGCTTGTCTTGGTCTCCTATGTCACAATGAATGTACGACTTGTACAATTTCTTGATATGACTTGTAATACTGCGCTTTTCTTTAACAAATGTTAATTCGCCACATATGTAGCAGAAACCTATAGAAAAAGTATAAAGAAATATAAAATATATTAAATACAGGTTTTAAGGCATAACGTATTAAGTGATAAACACGGTTAGATATAAGCACATAATGACATAATTACAAAATATGTAAGCGCAATGTTGTAAGAAATTTATTTTTAACATTTTTGCCGAGATTCTTGAAAGTGACAATTTTGAAAAAACTATACCTTATTCAACAAAAAGAAGGTCAGAAATGCATTTTTGATGCCATTGTTAATATAAAAATGACCACAGATGTTCTGTACTTTTTTAAGTGTTGCACAGTGTTACCAGCAATCCAAATAGTGTTACAAGATGAAATGCCGAATTTATATCAGTTGCAGTTTTTTTTATAGCACTGATTTATAATTTCTGGTCAGATATCGTATAATATGAAAACATACGTAAATGACTCTGATGAGATGTGAGCAAATTACGTGGGTTCATAAAAACCAGTTTAGAGTGAGAACCGTTTGATTGCTAAAAGATCAAGGACTCGACTAATAGATAGTGTCTTAAACAGATAGATAGATAGAGAGATAGAGAGAGAGGAGGAGGAGGAGGAGAGAAAGAAATAGAGGGAAAGAGAGATAGTGAGGCAAGTGTAACAAAGCGAACTGGCGTGAATTGGAGATATAATCGACTTCTTGCTACCCTCTGTCTTTTTCTAATAATTCTCCTACCCTCAAGCCACTCGAGCTCTCAGTCTCATTTGAATTGCCTCTTATTATACGAATGTTTTTGAGGCTGTTTACTACGTTAAGAACGATTCTTTTGATCAGTGATTTGATCGACAATTGTAGGAAAGTCATGAATGAATCCACGTGGCTAAAATACAAAGGATCTAAAAAGGAAGTTAAGAAGTTAAAAGAAAAGAAAAAAACTTGCCTGGTTAATAACTCAATTTTACCAATTACGATTCTGTGTTTTGCTGCTAATGACAGTCTCGCGTCAAGATTAAGTTTGTTTTAGAATTGTTATTCATGGATTTAAAGATTTTTATGTGTGTGTGTGTGTTTTTGATCGGTATTACCCTATGCAAGGAAGTAAAGCCACTAAGACCCAAGGTGTTTCAGGCCGTGGAAGAATTAAAACCAGAAACATTAATAATGAGCGGGAAGAGGAAGGAGTAACTAGGAGGACAGTATATAGCGATTGACATTGTATTTAAATTTATAGAGATCAAAGTTGTCAGGAAAGCAAGGCGCCAGAAGGGAGTTCCACAAGCGAGAAGTGCGAGCGAAGAAACTGTTAGCATAGAATGAAGAGTTACATTGAGTTAGCTCAACTGTAAATTGATGAGATCTCGACGCCAGTCTAGTGCTGCGCTTGAATTCAAAAAGTCTAGGTACCATAGCGAAGAACTCATTCGAAAAATTATCAGGAAAGTATTTATAGAAGAATCACAAAGAGACAACCTTACAACGGTGCAAAAGTGACAGAAGCCGAGCCGCCAGATCAGGACTAATAATATTGCTGATTTTTCTTTGAATTTTATCAAGGAGCTAAAAGTAAATAGAAGGAGCACCGGAAAATATGTGGCAGCAATATTCTAATAATGGACAAATGGTAGACATAGATATGTAAGATAAATTCTGGATAGAAAATTGTCTCGCACGAAACAGTTTATTTTCATTTACCAGATTATAATTCTGCTTATTTTTTAGTTCCTTGGCTCGACAGTTTCTTAATTAGTACGTTGCGTCCTACCCAGGGTCGGATTTTCCTTTACGCTGCAGCCTAGGGCCCCTCTAGTTTTTATAAAGCAATGATTTTAATTTTCTAGACGTCATAACATCTAAATAGTTTCATAAACTGAAATGATATCAACATAAAAACTCATTTCCTTGCTTTGTTTCCTGCTTTGCAGGAAGCAAAGCAAGGAATAGAATGTTTTAGTTTACGTCATTGTGTTTCAAGTAGTCTGATTTTAGTTCAGAATGTTTATATCTTAGAAATGTTTATAAAGCAATGATTTTAATTTTATAGATGTTATAACGGTTAATTTTCAGTTTAGCACCCGCGCTCAGTTTGCATTAAAAAAAATTTCTAGAATATACCGTTTACGGAGTTATCGACAGTAAAATTTCGGATTCAATCGCGTTGTTGGCGGCAGCCAATACTGGCGTTGTTTGCACACATTCGCTGCGGAAAGCTAAGCGCAGAAAAGAACGTAGTTAAAGGCCTTGTTTACTGACCTAACTTGTCTCAATTACTGCGCAAGAAAACTATATTGCGTGCGCAATAACGAAGGCAAGTGAATGTTCCAGTCATAGCTATTCCGCAGCGAATCTATGCAAAAAACGCCAGTAATGGCTGCCGCGACGTGAATGAATCCGAAATTTTACTGTCGATAACTCCAAAACGGTAGATTTTATCAAATTTAACAAGCCAGATTCGAATGGAGCATGTACAACTACACATAAATGTAAGTATTCTGGAAATTTTTAATGCGAATTGAGCAAGGATGTGCTAAACTGTAAATTAACTTCTAAATAGTTTCATAAACTGAAATGATACCAGCATGACAAACTCATATTTATTTGTTTTATTGTTATAACGCTGGTTAGAAAATCTGTTTTTTTTTGTTGAAATATGTGTCAATTAAGACTAAAATAATGGTATTTCTTACAGAATATTTTACAGACAAACAAAAGATAGTTCTTCTACTTTATTTAATTAATTTTCAATAAATTTACTTCAAGCTATGTAAATGTCGCTGAAATATATCACAAGTAAAAAATATTCAAGACGGGTGGAGGGGAGTTAGAGGGTCGCTTCGACTAAAGTGGGAGCAGAATTTCATTAGCCTAGGGGCCCCAAAAAGGTCATAATCCGACCCTCCAAATAACTCATAAGAGACTCTTCCGTTTTGCTCACAAATAAATACAAAATTGATATATCTGATACGCTGTTTTCTTTCAGTTAGAAAGAAGAGAAGATAGCAGAGGCAGTAACGCTCACATTTTCTTAACGTCTGCTTCAGTGAAATAAAAAAAAACTTATCATTTTTATATCTTTTTATTTTTACCCACTAATTTTAAATTCATTTTGGTTAAAGCTGTTAAGCTCCATTATTTGATGATGCAATAAGGGAATTTTCATGGGTATTTTGTAGTCATAGAACACACAGTGAGCTTATTTATTATTTAAATACCATGATACATCCGAAAATGAAAATAGGAAGACCGTGAAATTTTCATGTGTACAACTTCTACTGTGTCTCATGTTTCTTCAGGACGTTGGCGATTATGGATCTTCGCAATTACCTGTTATTTATAGTAAAATTTGTCATTTTGCTTCTCCAAATCCCTGTCAACTATTTGTACAAGCTCGTTAGGTAGGTTATACATTATTTTCATCTGTCCCCCTCGCCTTCAATAATTCCTGTGAGCGCCAGATTTTCTAAGATCTCTTTCCTCATTATGTGCCCTAGAAATTTCAATTTACTTTCTGATTCGAAGTAAAGGTCTCCTTTTCACTTCCATTTTCTCTAAAACTTCATCGTTTCTCGAGTGTTTAATTCATGGCATCTTCAGTTTCCTCCTGTAGAGCAGCATTTCTGTTGCCTCAAGTCTTTTCTTCATCTGTGATGAGATTGTCCAGCATTCATTGGCATACAGGAAGTCAAATATCACGTGATAGTTTAGTCCGCTTTTCCGTGTTTCGGGCGATTTTGTTTTTTTTTTCTATCTCTTAACACTCTGCTTAGCTTTTGGAAGACATCTTTCGCTGTATCACAATACGCCATCGGATTCCAGTGGCGCACTTTCCGTCCTCTGTTCTAACACCTCCCAGATATATATGTCTTAAATCACAAAAACAAAAGCTTAATTCCTCCAGCAACCTGATCATTCATTGTGATTCACCAGCCTTAAATAAAGGCCGATAAATTTTCTCTTTATTCTAAGTCTTACGGCCATATCACGTTAAAACACCGGTTCTTGTACGATCACCGAAGTTAAGCAACGCCGATCCTGGTCAGTACCTGGATGAGTGCCCGCTTGGGAATACCAGATGCTAGTGGTGTAATGGAAATTTGTTCAGACTTGTTAATCAGAGAGCCGAGCCCAGTTCCCGTCGGCTTTGTTACATTCACTTACGCGCAAATACCCTTGGCAAATGTATGAATCCACCTTTCCCCCAACTATGGGTTAATTAGTAAGACGTGTATCATTAAACCATTATTATCTGCCTACCCCAAATTATTTCTATCGAAAAATAATTTCTGGTTTTAAATAACCTGCAAAGTGTTGATAAGCCGTAAAAAACGAATGAATAAACCAAATACTGATAAAATACACGCGCATGCGTTTTGGATTTATTTACATTTTCTGGGATATATATGTATAGAAACTACTGTGGTTACAAAGTGAGGGATCAATTTATATACTGATGTAATATAGAATTGATCCCGAACTTTATAGCCATATTATAATTTATTGTAGGTATGAGTCCACATCGTCTTTTCCCCCAGCTATGGGTTAATTAGTGGGACTTTTATCAGTAAAGCCTTATTACCTCTAAAAAAATTCTTACAGTCTAAAAATATATTTTCTGGCTTTAAATAACCTTATTTGATAAGCCGTAGAAAACAGAATCAATCATTCTGTTATTCTTGCTGAGCGCGGCATTGCGTTATCATGGAGGAGAACAGAATTTTTTCCTGTTGACGAACGCAGGGCACTTTTCAAACAGACACGTTGCAGCTGCTGGACCTATAGATGTGCATTTATGAAAAAAATCTTACAATCTAAAATTATTTTCTGGCTTTAAATAACCTGCAAAGAGTTGATAAGGTGTGGAAAACGGATCAATCAAGCTTTTATTTCTAGATTATCATTTCAGGATAGTTAATTTCTTGTGCTTCTTTTTACTAGACATTTCTTTGGAATCTTGCTTACGTAAATATTATAAGTAACAGATAAGTCTAATTTGACACTTTATAGAAACAAAATAAGTGATATCGAGTGGGTTTGTGGGCGTTGCAACGGAAAAAAAATCAGCCAAATTAGCACAATTGCAACCTGCTCTTTCGTTTCTGACGCTGCAACTTTGAATAACGTTAGCAAAAATACATGAGACATGTTTTTTTTTCTACTTTATAATATTAAATCAACTTAAGTCTGCAAAATATACGAAAATTATTGTCAAGAATATATTTAAAACATACTCAGTTTTTCCTTACATTGAACTGATCATCATCAGTGGTGGAGTAATGAATAACGGCTTGGATTGAGGAATCGGAGAGCAGAGTTCAAATTCCAATCGAATCTGTTACATTCACTTACGTGCTAATACCTGTGAAACCCCTTCTTCTCCCTCCAGCTATGGGTAAATAGCAGGACAGACTGGGTTCTATAGCCTTGGATGGCAACTTGTCTAGGAGAAGGAAAACTCTGAATTCAAAACCTGCGGAGGGTCGTTTGGGGACCTTGTGGCACGTAGTGCACCAGGTCTCTGTAATCGGCCCTTCAAAAAGTGTGGATGGTCCTGCACGAAACCTTCACCACTATAATCAAATCTCATGAGCTATATATGCGGGTTGGGGACCGCTTGTGAATTCCAAATTCCCATGAAACTCCAATATTGGAGCCGGCTAAACCCGCCCCGGGTGAATGCCGTTACAGGCAGGGGGTAACTGATCATCATTCGACCATAGCCAAAACGAACGATACTTTAGCAGTATAGTATATGCCACGTCGGGGCTACATACAGTTTTGAATCCAGAATTACTTTTCTCCTAGACCGGTTGCCAAGCAAGGCTATAGAAGACAGTCTGTCCTACTATTTATCAAATTTACTCCATTACTTATTACCGAAAACTGGTGGAAAAGAAGAAGAGGATTAATACCTTTCCCAAGAGTATTACCACGAATATAATGGATCCACTAGAATTCGAACTCGGCTCTCCGATTCCTCAATCCGAGCCGCTATCCATTACTCCATTACTTATTAAATTTATAATTACCTGCTTTTGGTTCCATATTGCTAGCATCAAATATCGTTTTTCGATATAAATTTCATTGTATTCATCAGAAAATCATGATCTAGCCATTTATCTCTATCTATAAAAGGCAGGATATGTGTGTGTGTGTGTGTGTGTGTGTGTGTGTGTGTGTGTGTGTAACGAATGCACGGCCACAATTTTCGACGGATTTGCACCAAAATTTACATGCACATGCTCCAAGTTAGCAGAAAAGCCCACACCGAATTTGCATTTCCCAACTCCCATCGATAGTCGAAATAATCGATTCTTCATGCTTCTACGGCAGTTTTCATGTAGTTTGCAGCCATTTTCTACTGGCCAGAGTGAGAGCCTGTAACTGGCTACCACAAATAGGCAGGAAGTTTCTATTGGCCAGCGTGAGAGCCAACAGCTGACTGAAACGAATGTTAACTAGCATGCTAGCATGGAAAAAAATCGATAGCTGCATTCGTTACAAGTTGGAAAAATTTAAATCTTCATGACACTTTACTCCAATTAGCTCATTCACTTGCTTAAACTCAACGTTGATTCTGATTCCGCAGAACTGGGTTGGGTGTGAAAAATTATTTGTTGTTTTTTTCATTCGGTTTTTCCAGTTACGAGTCCTTTTTTAAAGCTGATCGTTTTGTGTTCATTTTGTTTAGTTCTTTTATCGTAACAGATTTAATGTTTAGTATAGAGCTTAGAAAAAATTCGCAGTGTGTGATAGGCAAAAAGTAAGGCATGTAGCAACATCAGCACGGCAAAGGGCACTCCTTTAAAGGCAAGGAAGGGCAAAACTATTTTAAGTCAAGTGATAGCGATTGCTGTATGAGACGTACAATTTTTTAATCAAACACGGGCATACGCTATTTCCTATATATTTTTTTTGTGTGTAGTATCGAATCTATTTTAGACACAGAAAATTCCCTCAAAAGAAGTCAAAATAAGTTAAATGCAAAATTAAATTTATTTTCGAGAATTTTTATTCTTTAATGCGGACCAGGGTTCCTCGACTTAAATAATTTGGCTTCTCTAATAAAGCACCCAGTAATGTTCAGTCTCCCTATTTCACACTGTTAATCAAGGTTGTTAACCATTGCTCTTATTTGGTTCCATAAAATTACTTATATTCATTTTGACTATTTTATTTCATTATATATTTAGACATCCATGATAAAATCCAAACAATACGCAACGTTAGTAGTACTAACCTGGTATCTCGGCTTAAATCACTTTAGCATGTCTTCCTTGCGCCTTTTCTATAAATATTTTCATGGTAATTGTTCTAGTGATCTTTCTTCTTTTGTAACTAGACTTCATGAATTTAATCGCAGGGTTAGATTGTCTGATAGGTCTCATCGTCTTATTGTTGAACTGGCTAGATGTAACCGTAAGTTCTATGCTAACAGTTTCTTCTCTCACACTTCTTGCATGTGGAAGTTTCTTCTTGTCTTTTGCTACCCTGTCTCTATTTAAAAAAAGCAAAAAAAACAAAAAAAAAAAACAAAAAAACAATCGTAAATGAAAATAAAATCTACATAAAATTTATGAAATTTAGAATTTATGAATTTAATTTGCATCAATTGCTTGGTCTACTCCACAATTTTTCTCACCAAAATTAATTTTATATATAATGGGTGTAACAGCAAAATTTTCCAAAATGTGTAACAACAAAATAGTTTATTTTTTAAATTAAGCTTTAAACCGTTGTGTCTTAGAAATGATTAAAGATATCTTACTGGAATTCTCCGAGATTTTTATAACACTACTGGACTCTACTTTGAGTAATAAGAATTTATAATTACTCTCTAAGCTTAACAGAAGAATCGTAATGAAATCGATCATAAAGGAAACTGACATGTTCATCATTAAGTAAATTAAATTAATCATCGCTAAGGATCGGAAGCTCATGAAGGATTGAAATAAAGTTCATATATATATATATATATATATATATATATATATATATATATATATATATATATATTATTCCAGGATAATTTTCCAACTTATTCAAGATGATTTTCGTCCTCTCTAACCTTCTAACTTTCTTTCCGGATTTGCCTCATACGTTTCACGTACGATTTCATTACTACTATTTGAAATGTCGTAGCTGAAACTTCTTTCTCACATACCGAACATCGTATAAATTGAGTTGGATTGTTTTTCTAATTGATCTCTTTAACTCTAAGTTGAAATAATGATCCCTCTTCCTGTTGTGACCTCCTGATCCAGTTTTCCTCTCTACTGTTCAATCTTTTTAAAACTTATTCATCATTCTCTGGATGGTTCTTGAACAGAATTCGAAGATGAAAGCAAGGGTGTGAATGTTGGTACCATTATTGAAGGCCTTAATAATTTTTTCCTCTCACCATTACTCATTTGAGAAGACAGTGGGGCTGACACAAAACGATTTTAATCTGTTGTCTGTTTTTCAGTGATTCTTAAAAATAGTGTCAAGATGGCTAAACGTCTTATCAGAAAACCTGGAAAAAAGAAACCCAATTAGTTTAGTGTTAGTTTTTTTTTTTTTGGTCGGGTATTAACCATTTTGTGGGATGGACAATTGTGCTGTTGAACGATTTGGACAATCTTGCTGTTACGCCCGGTATATAAGTCTACCATTCGTCCATGCTTTGAATATTGCTGCCACCTCAGGTCTCGTACTTTATTGCTGTGTATTTTGACATTCCTGATAAAATAAAAAAAAATCTGCGTTGTTATTGGTCTTGCGCTGGCATCTCGGCTTAAGTAACTTTCCCAGCACTGTAACGTCGTTTCTCTATGCCTTTTCTATAAATATTTTCATGGTAATTGTTCCGATGAACACTCATCTGTGTTACCAAAATTCATGAATCTAATCGCAGGACGAGATTGGCGGCAAGGTCGCATCTTTTTACAATGGAAATGGCTGCATGCAACCGTACGTTCTATGATAATATTTCCTTCTTTCGCACTTCTCGCATGTGGAACTCTCTTCCGGCTTCTTGCTTCCAAATCAACAAATGATCTTCAGAAGTTTCAATGCCATATCTTCTGTCGCCTTAATTC